GGGGAAGGGAGGGGGAAGAAACAGAAAAGGAGATGCCATTAGGTGACCACGGTTGAGCTATAACACTATGCGTACCAATCGAGAGAGAACGCTTGGCCGGAATGGTTACGTCAATGATGATGTCAAGAGACAATGGTCTCGAGAGACGAAGGACAGCAAGCACAGCGGCGAATCACCAGCATAGGCAGCGGCGAATCACCAGCATAGGCAGCGGCGGATCACTCGCTTGATCACTTTGCGATGATATCACCAGGTCCTGCACGAGCTGATTGATGATGATGATGGAGAGATGATATACATAACCACAGACAGTGACGACGATATGCGATCTTGTCGTCGGTTTCACATTCATCACTTGTCCTACGGGCGACCAGCCATGAGCACGGGACCAGGCGAGGGCGAGGGCGCGGTGGCCAGGTCCCACTTGGCTGAATTCCTCATTTCTGGTCGTTGATCTTCATAATCAACGGTCAGAAAAATCAAGAATTTGGGTAAGTGGGACTTGGCCCCGGGTGCACGCGCGGCACAGGGAGTAGCCGCGGCGGGCAACGTCTCGTGGAAAAACAAACGCAAAAAGCGAAAAAAAAAAGGCGGGGACTTGAGTGCGGAGGAGCAGCCAGCAGCACTGTGGGTGACAGATCAGCAAAAGCTATAGGAAGACGAGGTTGCATCCGTCCAGATTCCTCGTATCTGGTCGTTGATCTCTGTAATCTACGGTCCAAAACACAGAGTCGGATTGACAGTGGCACCTTAGTGGCCTCGGCGGAGGAAGGAGGGTGGCATACAAAACAGTCAGGGCGTGATCTTTCTTTAGTCTGTTTTTTTTTGTGTGTTCTCAGTCAGGGCGGGATCGAACGCCCCACAACGTTCCCAAAAAAAAATTAAAAAAAGAACGCCCCCCCAACGAAGCCCGCCCGGCCCCCCGCGAAATGTATGACGCGAATTCCGTTGCAGCTATCTTCATAACGGAATGAATGTTGAATTATATATTTAATGTGGGCTTTTTTTTTTTTTTTTAATTAGAAAGGGAATCCCACGAATCCAACGAATCCATTCACATGTCTGAGTGAGGGCATACTCACAGTAGGACATGTTCGACTACGCTCTACATAGATGTCATTGCCGTCAGATGCGTCGACATCTGGCTGTAATTGCAGCCAGATGCATCTGAAAAAGTCCTCGTGTGAGTATGCGCTGAGCCGCGGAACGTACGGCCCTTTCGACAGCACTACACCACTACACGACCGCCCGGGCAGGTCTACCGTTCGTGCACGTATGTGGGCTGGAATACGACTACATCTAGTCAAAGTTGTAAACATTGAAAAATAATAATAATAATAAAAAAGTCGACCGGCACTTGGCCCGATTCTGAACTGTATTTCCAACCATCGATCGCGTGTGATTGTAACCATCGATCTGATTACACCAATCAAAGGCCAGAAATCAAACATCGGGTTGGTCCATATTGGCCCCTGCTTTATAACTTCCCTCTGTGAGCTATTAGTATCGATTTGATTTTCATCGGCCGTCAAGATCCCTGATTTGAACGGCTCAGAATCGCAGTCAGATGACTCGCGTCTGACTTTCTACATTCATTTCGGTTCGGTTGGGGGCTGATCGGCTCCCCGCGACGGGGCAGGTGGGACCTCGATGGGGACGAATCGCCGGCCCTTCGACTATCTTTTTTTTCCCTCTTGTTCTTTCTTTCTCGGTCAAAGTTGCGCTATACCCCTCAAAGTTGACATATATGCCAAAAGACCCGTAAAAGATGTGCGCACAGGGGAATACCCTTTTGGCCTGAAGTCTTTGTGATATGCCCCTGTCAGGCCTGTGTGCTAATTTGCAATCTGCACCTCTCCGTCGGGGCCCTAGGCCTGAACCCTGTTTGACCGGGTTGCCCTCCCAATGTGGTGGACAACTTTGGAGAATACCCAGGCACTATGCACGGCAATCTGGGACTCTGAATTCAAACTTCAAAATGAGTGCATGCTCGTTGAGGTTGGCCTCCTCACGCTGGGTTTGGAAGCTTGTCTCCACCCTGGGAAGTTCCTCCATCCCCCACCTCCTCCTCCCTTTTCAATTCAGTTCACGGTCTCCTCCCTCTGTGTGTGTGTGTATGTAGGGGGGGGAGAGAGAGAGAGAGAGAGAGAAAGAATAGACCATGATCCATGGGGCCTCACTCCAATACTCACCAAATGTGGAAAATGAGAATGAATCTTCCCTTTGGAACATGGGAAGATACACCGCCGTAATTTTCGTCTTTTTTTAGACGGAAATTATGGCGGTGTATCTTCCCATGTTCTAGTGGGATATTCATTCTCAGTTTGCATGCCGTTCACCTATCCCCGATGCACAGCCTGATCGAGATAAAATAAGGAAAATGGAAACCGTAGAGGATGCTTGATCACACAGAGGTGAGTCAAGGAAGGGGAGGGGGGTATAAATTGGTTTTAAGGGGCTAAAGGGGTCTAAAGGGGGATGTCTTTGTGTGATTCTGTTATTTAATTTTATTTTTTGCGCACGCTGGGGCTGTCCAGAACCCTACCCGAGGGTCATGTCCGGCCGGGCACCCGGGCATGTACCCGGGCAGAAGTTGGGTGCCCGGGCGCGCGGAAAAAAAAACTAGTTGTTTTCCGTTTCTTTTTTTTTCCAATTTGGTAAAATAAATTGATGTACCGCTGAGGCAAATGTTGCTTAATTTATTGTTCTGCATAACATATATTATTTTCATATGTTTCGGAGTATTTATTATTTATTTATTTTGGTCCGCGTTCGACCCGAACGCTCGGGTGTTTGGGTTCGGCCGTTCGGCCCCGGACGAACATCGTCTACCATGTATACAGATATAGATAGATAGATAGATAGATATAATATATATGTATATATATGTACATGCAAGGTAACCGGCGTTCGGGACGGGCCGAACGCCCGAACGTATGGGATCCCTTGGGGATGCGTTCGGCCGTTCGGGCCAAACGCGGACCAAAAAAAA